CACTCAGCATGTGGAACAAGATTCGGATTTTCAACACCAACGTCAAGTCAGTGCTTCTATATGGTTCAGAGACTTGGCGCGTTAGGATAGGGATTTCCAACAAACTACAGACAATCATCAACAACTGCCTACGCTGGCTCGTTACTGAAGATCAGATGGCCAGCATAATAAGAATAAGCAACAAGGAACTTTGGTTGGCAACGAACCAACCGAGTACCTATAACTCAACAAATATGCAGAAGGAAGTGGAGATGGATTGGACATACACTGAGAAGGCCAACTGGGGACATCACGCATCAGACCAGGCCCTCGAGTGGAACCCAGATGGGAAGCGACGAGTTGGGTGTCCCAGGTGAGGGTGACATGGAGGAGAACGTGTGAGGAGGAAATGAGAGCAGAGAAAAGAGTGTACTGGAGACGTGCTACTGAAGCCCTATGTTCCACTAGGAGGAACCCAAGGGACAAATAAATAATAAATGTATATAAGGGTCGAAAGAGGAAAGACTTATAATTAATTCAACGTTGTACACTCTGTTGCTTCATCAACGATTGTCGGCGAAAGATATATTTCTTAAAATACTTCATGAGTTAGTCCTGTTCCGACGCAACTTTACCTACTTTACTAGGTAGGTATTCAAAATATGAGCTAAACTGCAATATTTACCAAATGTATGTGGTAAATGTATTCAAAGAATGTCCCTAAGTATATTGAAAATGAACTAGAATTAGAAACATATTTAAGAGTCGACAGAATACACAAGAAGATCAGTGGCTCTAGATTTGTCAAAAGACCGACGCAGATAATCAGTATCGCATAGGAGAAGCGTGAAGGAAGAAAAGGTTAGCGTGAAACCATAAGCAGACGCTGTTGGAATGTAAGACAAACTGCTTCACGGTAGCATTTTGAATCCAATCATCAGAAGTTGTAAAGGCATTCAGTGAGTGATTAAATATTTTACTTGGCAGCTTTCAGAATCCACATAGTAATCATGCATAGATACGCATGACCACCTTGAAATTTCGATGTGTGATTCTCACCTTAATATATTTCAGGTTGGACGATTCTTTTCCAGTGGATATACAGAGCATATAGTTCTATGACAGCAGAACCATCCACATACTTACAAACTCTACGTATTCTAACACATTTTATAACCAGCAACAATCCACCAACGTAAAGTTAATTCTCAGAACCCTTTCGCACAGTTTTCGTGATATGACTCAAAAGTGCACATCGAGCATAACAGTACTTCTATCGGTTCAAGATAAAACCATTACTTTAAGGCATCAATGAACTTTCTGTCAGTTCTAAAAATGACAAATGAAGTAATAGCCTTTGCCGGCTACCTCCACGATTTCTTAAATCACAGCTATTACACTTACTGTAGTCGACGCTGGTGACGTTAATAACTGAACCAACGGAATTTCAAATGAGCTCGTCAAAGTAAAACGACTGATTAAATAGATTAGTCAGGGATAAGGTTTAGTGGATTTATTCCACAGGTCAAAATTTCAGATATCAATCTAGATATCCCTCTTCGGTCAGTCACTCCTCCAGGTAGGAATTTATTCAGAAACGTAACACACCAAATGATAAATAATCTAAAATTCTGTCTACTCCATTTTAGGAGAGGAATAAAGATGTCAAACTGGATATCAATAAAATAATGGGATTATTTAATTTCAGATGTCTGTTCCTCTCGATTTAACTAAACCCGGCTAACAGCACTGTATCCAGACTCAACGATGACGGAAAGATCTCGGTAAATTAGGAAAAGCTCATAGATTTGGGGTTTACATAAATGGAATTAAATACATCTGGATTAATCGTAGATACTTTAATCGAGAGGCTACAGGTCATAATTTCGCTAATTTAAAATTTAAATTTAAATATTAAATGGAGACATTTACTATTCTAATATGCAACAACTTGTACAGGGTTTATTCTCTGAAGAAGCGGCTTCCACAAGGTTGCGAAACGTCAGAAATTACTCTTTTTTTTTATCTTATTGGGATTTTACTAATATATCTCCCCGACAACAGTATTTTTCAACAAAAATCAAAAGCATGAGAGAAAAGAAGCTGAATATTGTGACTAACAAAAGAAGCACAACGAGTTGGAACACTTGAACATGCTGAAAGCCAACCTATATGGACTAATTACTCAGTCACAACAGCACACAAAGACTTGTTTGTAGACAGTTCGAAGATGCTAAATCTACTGCAACAGCTTATAGAGAATTCCAGACGAATATCTTATAGTCATTCCCCTTGAAATTGGTTACCTATGCAAATTCATTAACAGTTTTTTATCATTTCAACGTAACTCTTTAAAACAATACTTGTAGAATTATTGAACTAGTTAAGTACATAACCAAAAAGTGGATGTCATTTTCTGTTTTTGCATCTGTGAGAATAGATTAACAACTAGGTGTCATGGTTTGCTGCCCTCAAATGAATTCACACAGAGACAAAGACAAGATCAATATGGGGCCAGGCATTACTGCGTAGCGGTCAAAGATGCTATGTGAACAAGCATGATCATGAATTTTACATGGGAAATATAGAAACAATCAACTTAGAAAGCTCTAGGAACGCTAAATGTTCTAAAAGTCCGTCAGATTATTAATCTGAGGACAGACCTAACTTCAATCACACCAACTAGTACAGAAAAGCTTAAACAGTTGCATATTCAGAGGGAGAACCAGAAAAAAACGTTATTGTTAATACAGATGCATACACTGATGAAAAAGGTTCTGTGGAAAACCAGTTGTACGGTCAAAATCCACTAATATGCCAATTGTGAAGACATTTTAGACAATTCATTTTTAACACTTAGGCTAATGCCATTTAATATGACAATCAAAAAAGCTTCATAATTAATGCATCTTTTTTTTAGGAGTCATAAAAATAAACTCAAATGAATTTCACAGATTCAATTATTCAAAGTATAAAAGCAATTCCCATAGTTCATTTGAAACGATCTTGCAATTATCAAACTCTTACTTCACTATCTGACTTGGAAAGTCGAAACAATTCCTGCTGAGCAACATCAGATAATGAATTCAAATTACAATAATGAGTCTCGTTGAAACAGGGGCAATCTATCTAAAATAATGAGTTCAGCTTAACAATGACAAGATATGCAAATATAAATTAAGGAAAGAAAAACTCAATACAAACTCGTACACCAGACAATAAAGCCGCAAATGTATTGTCTGAGGGCTGGGATAACACTTGAAGCCCGGTAATTAGTCCAAGATGCAAAGTGTTTTAAAAGTTTACCAACTCCTTAGCAAAATTACCCCCATATTTGGATTACATGAAGCACGAAAAGTTATCGAGCAACCATTTCAAGGATGCTTATCAGACAATATGTATTTTGTCAGCAAAAACATTCACCAACACTATATTCACAAGACTTGTTGTAGTTTTAATGTTCATTCCAAATACATCAAAATATAATAATTGTCAAGTTGAGGACTTCTATGCTGCGAAAAAACTGACTAGTTTCAATACTTATACAATAAACTCTTATGATAAACCGATGATAAGGGAATAAAAATTGAGAGAAGAGAACTGAACAAATGTCTTACCTTGCTTTGTAAATTACCAATAGTGCACACGCAACTTCACATAAAACCGGGTTCAGCAATGTCAGGTCTAAGGAAGAGCGCATTACTATTTGGCTCCTAGTTCCAATTAACCTTGCTAGTGGCTAATAGTATAAAATGTTGCAAGCTGTATCTATCTGTTTTGACTAGGTACGGTACTGAAAGTGGTTCACTGAACTAAATAAGCTACATACGTAGATTAAAGCCGAAATCATAACTTCATATCACGATGCAAATACTGTGTTTCGAAAACTTAATGTATTCTAAGTGTGTCTTTGCAACAGATGCCGGCCAATTTTTTTAAAAGGCAAGCGTATGATATTATTAGACTCTTGCTTGAGTAGCTAGATAGAAAGTTGAAAATACGCATGCATAGCAAATAAATCCTGGCATATTTGACTTTCTGAGATGAAAACATTATGATAAAGGTGACAAAATAATTATAAAACAGTCCAATAAGAGTTGTAACAACATATATATTAGATGGTAACTGGTACGAACTTCAAAGTCACGCTAGCGTGGGGAGAAAATAAACCCGCTTACACCTTAGCCTTTTGATTTTAGGTATAAATTCTCACTGTTAACAGTTAGTATGAATAAAACTGAGTTACTTAAGGAACTTGCTCTGAAGATGACGTCAGAACGAAGATCAGAACGTTCACCCACATAAAGTAGTATCCCAGAAAATCTATTTGAATCCCAAAAGAAAAACTGTTTGGTGTGTTACTACAACATATTGAGATTTGGTTGAACGATAAATTTATTTGATGAAAAGTCAAACGACACCCTTTTCACATAAATAAAATAAAAACGGGTATGAAAAACATCACTACAGTTTACTGTAAAGAATAATTGAACAACTGCCTTACTACTCCTACGTTACGTTTAACCTCGAATAAGAATATGTATCAAAGCCAAAATACCTCAAGAACTATCAATATGAAAATAGTGATCAACTGTCAAGAGGGAAGAAAAATTACCAAATTCTGATAAGAAAAAGGAGACATAAGATCATTTGAATCAAAGTTTACTAGTTGTAGTATTTATCATGTTCAATAGCTTTTTAGTTTATACCGAGTACTCATTGCTGTCGGCAAGTGTTCAATTATCAGCATGTAAAAGGTCAGTAGTTTACAGTCAGAAACACACACGGGGAAAATCTAATCAAATATGAGGATTAAATGCTAAAGTGGAGAAATTAAAAAGTACTACAGTAAAGTGTTTCTAAGCGAAAGAGAACCTCCATAGTGTATTTTCTGATGCGTGCATGCGAATCCACAAAAAATATTACAAACTAGATCACAAAAATTGTGTTATGTATAACTTGCTAGGAATTTTAATTTGTCACATTAGGGTTTTGCTTCAAACTATTCCCATCGTTTACCGTTAATCCCTAGTATAGTTGATTGGTCGAATAAGGGGGATAAGAGCATTGGCCAGCTCTGGTGTACCAGCGCAAATTACATTTCTTGCCATTAGATCAACAGGTTTACCTGATAGGAAAAAAGAAATAGCTAAAATATTGTTTCACAAAGAACTGAGTAATGAGAATAGAATACATGTTAGTACACATTTTTAAAACATTCCGCTTCTATACGAATACACAGACGCCGCATGAAATAAGTTGCATTGATCAGAAGAATGTAGAAAGGGAAAGTTTATTTACGAACAAGAGTGCCAAAAAGCACGAAGCGTAGGTCCAAAGCTTCCAGCCGATTACCTCCAACCAACTAATATCTAACCAAGTGCAGCACGATGTTGACCCTCTTGGCTTGGTGGCCACAATGCAGAATGATTGACAGAATTCGGTCAGCACTCAGGACTAGACAACATGAAATTGGTTGCCTTCTAGTGGCCAATCAATTTGTCTAGAGGTTCTTACTACTCGTAAGTATGAATCAGACGTAAGCAGTGCCACCCTGTTTAAATCTGCAGTCACCTTTCCTAGACCTGACATCAACAGAGAGGGTAAAACTGAAAAATTTTTCTGCCAAACACTACGCTCTACACAGTGAAGAGCAAGCATGACAGTAAAAAGCTGTCGAAGTCTTGTGGTAAAAATGAAAAGTGCATCATAACAAAATAGACAAATACCAATTAATTTTATGAAACCAGTGTCTGGTAATAAAATCTTGCAGACGCTTCTAAAGTATTTGATAATAACACTAGATATTCAAGTAGGTGGGTGAAATGTGTCCACGTATTACAGTATTTAATGCAAGACAATATTTAGCTAATAATCCGCTTGAGTTATGTAGAGTTCTGCTGCTACAGCAAGGTAGCCAATGCATGCAATAACTGTCAAAAAAACGATTACGGGTATATAAAACCAGCAAATATGTCATGCTTACGTCTACTACAATATTTTCTACCTTTCAATTACGAGGTAAATAGTTAGAATAGGATCGATTCGAAATATATACATTTTGCTACTGCATCACATCTAAAAACATTTTCGGTTTGTCCACTGGCATTAAACCAAGGCCTGAAAAGAAATTGAGTTATTCGTTAAAAATCCACCCACTGTACTTTGTATTTGTGGTACAGTTCTTAATCTAAAAAAAGACAGTTTCCTCAGGCAGATTCTGTAGGAAATAAGGACAAGAACTTTCTTAAACTATTCTTAATGCTACGGTAAATTTTGAGCAAATCGCCAGGAAATCACGTTTTCGGTTAACCTCTAGTTAAACCAATAGCTGTTACGCTCTGCCAGTTTGATTGACAAATTTTCATGAGGATGATCATCATGCATGTTCAGTAATCATACAATAAGGGACCAAGTATAGTCAGGTCAATCAGGGGAATAAATACTCCCCAGTCTTATTACATCATTGATATTTGTTCATGACCAAATGCATTCCCCATCAGAAAGTATTGGGTATCAGACTTTATGAAGTATTGGTTCACAGATCTCAAACTTTATGGCCATTGAGTCCTATCAATCTGTAGCCGATATCAAGCAACTGAACTTATTCCATCAATCACTAAATAACTGACGTAAAAGAAAAGTAAATTAGAACGATGGATTTTACTCGCATTAATCCACAGGCCTTCACTGATTATGGAGATGTTTATGTGATGTGATTCTCCATTAAAGTTTCATATTGAATTGTTAAGATGTTGGTTATAGTATGAATAATCGAAACGTGACTGAAGATCCACTACTTAATGAAGCACGCATCCAACAATGCAGGAGGTAGACGGTATACCCACACAATAGTTTCTGGTATGGGTGAGATTTACGTCAAGGCCTTTTGTGCAAATTAAAACGCGTGACATCTACAGTTGCTGGACAAGCCTTAGTTATGGGAGATCATGGTATCTACGATTCAGTACAAAGAAAATTACTCTGGTTAACTACTGAGTCACTTAACAGCTTTTCAGAAAAGTTTAATATTTGACACCTTTACGTATTAGTCTCTACTTGTGAGAATAAAATCAACCATAGCTTCATGAACAGATAAAAAACCTAGGTGAATACTTTCACCCGTAGCTAGTTTTTCCAACTGCTTGCAGTGGGTTTCTGACTGGTGGCCTCCCCACAAAAGAAAGGTGAATCACAAGGATGTTGAAAAAACTTTCGATAAAGAAATCAACTCATAGTTTTGTACGGGGTAGAGTTGCAGCCCTATGCCCAAACTTCCCTCTTTACCCGGGCTTAGGACAGGCTAGTTACTAGTGTACTAGTTAACCAGGCGAGGTTTTGTTTACTAGTAGCTGTGGAAATAAACAAATTGAACTTTAAGATATACAAGAAATATAAAGGAATACGAAAGCTATACAACCTACCATCAAAGTTACAACAATAACCTCCTGCTTCACGAACTATTAGTATGGCTGCAGCATAATCCCAACAATGGATTCCAAATTCGAAAAATACATCACCGCTGCCAGCAGCGATCTGACACATGTGCAAAGCTGCTGAACCCATTGTACGTACCCTGAGTAAAAAAATGATTTTATTGAGATACAAAACATCATTACCTCATAAAACTACGTTAACTCACAACTTACATCTTGTATACAGTGTGTTTAGAGTTTTATATAGAACTTTCACCTAAGAAATCTTATTGAAGTGAGAAGAAAGTTAGTCACAAGTATTAAAATGTTCAACAACTACCATGATTGAGTTTTATTTGACTACATTTACGTAACATCATATTTTCAAATGCTTCACCAAAAAGTAAACAGCTCTCCAATTTCCAGCGATTGTTTAGATATAAGCATTTTAGAGACATTTTTAAGCCTATTTTCAAATAAATCACTAAAACAAACAATTTTTAAAAAGCATTTCCATCTGTCTTTATGTGAATGACTGAATTGTAATATTTTAAGACTATGGGATAGCATATACGGTAGCCGAAGCTTTTGAGAAACAGAACAACTTTGAAAATAATTTGCCTACTGTTACAATAACACTAAGTAGCTGAACATCCGTAAGATTTGTCTCGATATGCTACATCTTTTTCCAATAAACAACAAGGATCTGTGTAAGTGATAGTCGCTACTTTGCATTCTTTATGATCTATTTGCTAGTTCAGCGAGAAATCATTCGTGAGACTGAATCCCTCTATACATATCCTTCGGCGAAACACAGTTTTGATACCTGGTTAACTGAACTTTCAACTATCATGTCCAGTTAGTCATTTCGCTCACAACTTTGGTAAATATTAACTCACTGTATTTGAGTGATGTCCTTCAGAGCTTAATTAGGCAAATATTGGAGCCCAGAACTTCTCATTATTATGAGTGACTATATATCATTGAATAGTGAGACAAATTGCCATATGTACTGAAATTATCCCTAGATCATTGTTTATCAGTTGGAGATTTGTCAATAAAAGGCCACTTCGAAAGTCAGTAAACAGACAATAGATTCTTAGTATAGAGTGTATAATTGGACTTCTCAAGTTGGTATTCATCACGGACTGACATAACTTAGCGAACCATTGGGAAGCTGGGAGCATTGAATAATTGCTTCGTCCTAGTAGTGCGCAGCGCGCACCCTTCAAGAATCAGATCTATGACATTCATTTTTCGCGTTGAACACGTCATCACTAAGTCACTGGGTTGGAATCCAATGGTTAACATTTTCTCACTTCTTTCAATTTACGACATAGCAAATTGCGTCGAGATGAGATTTCAAGTAGTTCTAGTGAGAATTCGTGACCGCTGGGGCGAACCAAATACTCATCGATGGCAGTGGACGATTATTGCACTACATCGCGAATCGACAAGGTAGAAAAGTGCGAATCATTGGGTTTCTATCCAATGGTAACATGGTAACAATGGTAACATGCTGGTCCCAAAACTTGAAAGTCCTGGGTTCGATCCTTGACGGGGTCATGAGTGCGCACTGCCAAAGAATCCCATACTACGACGAAACAGCTGTCCAGTGCTCCCAGGTTTCCAATGGTACTCCGACTGAGGTCAGTCTGTGATGAATACCAACCTGAAACCAATAAACCATCACAAACCTCCAAGCTGAGTAGCACTTCTGTTTGCTATCACGGTATCAAGTTAACAGCAGCTTATAATGCAAGCAGGTATCAATAACGATAGAGCTTTTAAAGCGAGGCAAAGCGCCCACATAACAGCAGACTTGTATTTGTACCGAGGTTTCTATATCTTAGTAAATTTGTACGATAGTACGTATTACCTCTTTGAAAGTCAATGACGGTTTCAAGAATGAGATAACAAAGTGCTGCCTAAATTAGATAATGCATTCTGAAGAAGTTACACGGTAAACTTAAAAAATTCATATTTCAAAGTATTTTTCTACCACAGACTGACAGAAGTTGGAGAACCACCGAAAAACTCAAAGTTCTGGAAAGCTGCTTTGTCCTACTTTTGAATTTCTCAGAAATCTGGACCCACAACTACATGAGGCGTAGAGTACATAGAGAATTGACAGAAGTAGAAAAATGTAGACCATTGGGTTCCAACTTAGTAGCTGAATGGTAACATTCACCATGAGACCTGGCGTTCTGATCCTTCGTGAAGTCGTGGATACGAACCACTGAGGAGTCGTAAACTAGGATGAAAACACTGTTCAGTGCCCTTATGTTTCAGTGGTTCAATGGATATCGATCTGCGATGAAAGCTACTTTGAAATCAATGAATCCATACAAACCATCGATTGAAATTCATATTCCTAGCTTCTTCTAATTTAGATCAGCTGATTTTAACCGTATTCTTAGACGTGAAACTAACCGACCTAAAGAAATTGCTTGTTCAAACTTGTAAAATCGTTATTAGAGTTTTCTTCCACCTTGGTTGATTGTCCACCTACTTTATTTTTGCTTGATTTATAAATAAGTGACAATCACTTCCCATACAGAGTTAATGTGTATGCAAAAGAACTAAACGTAATAAGTCTGTAAACAAAACCTAAGCCTATTATTTCCTTTCTAGTTGCACCACTATTTCATTTGCATACCCTACAAACAAGTTTATATTTAAAAACTATGTATAACAAAATTAACAGTTTGTTATTGTTTGACGCTTGTAATTTCCCGTTTTTATAGGATCGAATTGCTCCATCTCTGTTGACAGATAGACTCCTATGCGGGTGCCTTGATATTGCCTGATACGCGTGATGTTGTATTCATCCAGCTGACGAGCCATAAATAGGACGAAATAAGCGTCATGGATTCCACTGCAAGTCACCAAGACGAGAACAAAGTCTCTTAAACTTTTCAACACTAATCAAGAATTGATTTTACATTTCTTCAGAGGCAAAAGAACTGTCACATCCTTTTCTCCTACAATAAGCATATTTCAAATTTTACCGTGTTTACCGATAAAAGATGATAAGCCCAAAAATAGAGCAGGTATCTAGTTGAAAGTGCTGCGATTAGGTTACGGATAGTTTGGACAGGTCATAACGAATACTGGTTGTGAAGAAATGAGACTTATCTACTTTGCTACGATTTTTGCTTCTATTTGTAATCGAAGCGAATTTCCTCCTTAGCGAACAAAAGTGGAAAGTAGTCTCCCGAGTATCTGCTCATAAGATGGCTCACTCGTGAGCTCGCTACTGTAAATTATGGTATTTCTTAAACTTTTGAAATTCATCCTTACCAGGTACTAGCTATACACACTAAAGTTATTCGGAGTACAGAGAACTTAGAAATATGAAACAGTAGAATAAAACACAGATAAGTAAAAACTACTTAATAATCTGGGAGGTCCATTACGTTTGTGGATGCGGTTACTCGCTTGGAAGATGTTTCATATAGGATTGGTCTGGCCACGCATATTACCACACAGAGTTAATGCCTGGTGGAGTGATATCTTCACTCGATGACTTCAGTCTTGGTTGTATTGTATTCTCTGAGCTGAGTTGTCTAATCGTAGAGCTTTCATCATCTATCTAGATGACATCATCAGCACTGGCTTCAATATAAAGTGAGCTATCGATATCTCTCCGTAAGTGATTCACTAGCTTGCCCTGATGAACTGGTCTGTGATTGGTTGTTTCCTATGATTGTTGTGTCATTGACTGCATAGATTTTGTTGGTTCTTCCTCTGCTTGACCTCTGACCCTTCTCTTGTATATCACTTTTCTTATTGGTTGATAGATTGGGTCTATTTATATACATCTATCGATTGCTGATTGACCTAAATGCCAAGGTTCTAGGAATCCCCTGATATTCTTTGCGTTTCCTCTGTCCACGATTTCGACATTGTCAAAATTGAATTCATATCCATAGTTATCCAAGCGTACTGAAATGAGTGATGAAATGTCGTGACGTTTGGTAGCCAATTGGTTTTCATGTGAACGAGGGCGAAGAAAGCGAGGACTTTGTTCAATGTAGTGTTGATCATAATTATTGCAATCGGTTTTGTAAATGATACTTCGTTTGTCTTCTTTGATCTGCATAGTATGGTTTGAAGGGAACTTGTTGGTGCCCTCAGTGATTTTGTTATGATCTCTGATAAATTCTTTATGTACGGTAGGATGATCCGTTTGCTGACTTCTGTCGATGAACTCTGCAGTTAATGAAACACCAGATAGGCATCTTCGTGGGTAGCCGTTCTTCTTTAGGATAGATATCAATTAGTTTCCTTTGTTTGTCCGTGAAGTTGTTATACTGCAGTTCGTTCTCACTCTTTGAATACAGTATGCACGCAACTGATTTTGTGAGCTGGGTTGTTGTTACTGTAATTAAGGATTTGATCAGTGTGCGTTGGCCTCCTGTACACTTGGGTTTCCAGTTTTCCGGTATTTGTTCTACTGACTAAAACATCCAGGAATGCCAGTTGGTTGTTCGAGTTCTCCTCCACTGGTGAATTTGATGTCATGGAAAACGTTGTTGATCAAACTGTGTTTTCTAGATTATCTTTTTTAATGATGACAAAAGTATCGTCCACATAGCAAATCCAAATTTTCCGTTGGATCACAGATAAAATGAGGGCTTCTAGTATTTGCACCACTGCTTTTGCAATTGGTCCAGATATCGGTGATCACATTGAGGTTCCTTTCATCTATCACCTGTCTTCCTTTTCGATGTCTTTGAGCTTCAATCATTTTGAGAAAAAGACAGTTTTTCCTAGTTTTAACATATGTACAGAGTAATTTCAAGCGAATCAGGACATCTCTCTACCTCCCAAGACTAAAATCTCAGCTCATTCGTCTGAATAACTAAGAATGAAGTTTGATCTGAATGATCTGCTTGCAAATAGTTAGCTCATCTAAGACAATATACAACCCGGACTCATCTATCTCTAGTGTAGCTTAGCAAGGACCATTGACTTTTGAGGGTGGCCAGATCAAAACGTGACATGAATCCATGAAATCTCTTACTATTTGTGTGAGTTCTGTAGGGAGATGTAGACTGCCTGGCTGAGGTCTCCGAGAGGATAGGAACCAGTGATTGAGGACCCTCAGTAACATGGTTGAAAATCGGTTACAATGGAGCAGACGTATTCACTCCTTGACATCTTCTAAAGCTTGAATATTTGCACTAACCTTTATCCTCAGATGGTTAATTCTCCCAAACTCACACTCTCAAACAACTTTATCTACTTTGATATCACTACTTTCCTATCCACCTGTTTTTGTGTACTACTCTGAGGTGTGGTGACTTGAAATGATGAACCTGTGTCTGACGTTTTACGTTGATTTTGTATGTTAGTCACTGACTTCTGAAATAATAAGTGCAATCATCTCGGGAAAAATTTCCCCTAACTTCTCAATAACTGGAGCGTTTCCGGATTTTCTATTTCAATTTGAATATACAGTGAAACAGAGTTATGCAAGGAATTGTTTATTGTTAAAAAGTGTGTTGTAGAACAACAGGCTTCTAAACTTTTTATCGAGTTTAGACGGAATTTTAGGTCATTACATAAATGGAGACAACAAATATACTTAGTCATCACTGAAAAATAATCCACTTCACTCCTCAATGCTGACCAAAACTCATTGAATGAGCTTGTAATAAAACTCGCTGGGATAATGGACTGAACTTGTGTTAAATGGTTAGGAAGAAGTCTAAGAAATAGGTTTGTGCTTTTTAAAATTCATGAGGAAGATGCATTTGAATTCTATCGTATTTACTGGTATATATTAGCCTATATAAGCCGGTTTCAGTAGACAGATAAAATATCCCATGAATTCACATGATAAGTGTGCATCATTTCAGGTGGTAGCTAACTGGCTGTTCTGTCTCCTGAACTTCAATTTACCATTTGTACTAAAATGACAGAAAAGGTAGCTAGCAATTAGCTCTTCGAAAACTTGGTTTATTCAGTAAGAGAAACATGTATTAAAGGAGATAATACACATGGAATATACTTGACTCGCATAAAATCCATCATTAGTACATAAGGTGAATCGATAAGATGTTTTTCTACAATAAAGAAATATGTTCGCATATGCTGTTGGCATTGATTTGAAAAATAGGTCAAAAGTAATTTGCGATAATTTTTCCAGCAAAAATAGTTAAGCCTAATGTTCAGAATAAGTTCACTTTTATTATGGTTTAGAGAATTCCTACCTAATCTTCACACAATTTAAGAGCGTGATCCGATCAAATCCAAGTGTTTGATTTTGAATGCACACATTTCACTTAAATCACGTTGTCTGAAAATGATGTCAGATTAACAGCCATTAAAACACGGCCTCCAGTAGGGTATTAATATTCTGATTTCACCTTTGTTTAAAATTATTTTCGATGATCGAAATGCTACCAAACTGTTCTTGTGAACTTATCACAGATCTTTGTGTATCCGCAACTTATTTATGCAAAACTTTGTTTCACTGCCGACATAGAAAACTAGGTAACTGCTTTTACACCTCCAACCTTCGACTAAAGGTGGGAAAATAAAAGGGCTTCTACATTGAATGGATGTTACAAATATTCAACATCAGATTGATCTTAAGTGGTGATGGTCAGTTATTGGATGAAATCTTTTCAACAGCGAGTAAAAACCTGCCAAAACTAGAATGGGCTTACTTATCAATCAAGAATCCGTTAAGAGAATGACTGGTTTTAAAAACATGTAAAACGATGTTAACAGCTACATTTTTTTATTACTGCTGTGAAGTGCGGCAGCTTGAGTCTGAACACCTGTGGTGCGAGGCTCTACGTTGAATTTGTCAGTCAGTCCTTTTTTGAGGATTTGGGGATTTTAATTTTGAGGGGGTCAACCAGTAGGAAGTGAAACGTCTGCCAAGTGAAGACCTTGGATAATAAAAAGTCGTACTATATCGCCCCAACTTCTTCGACTTTGAAAATGCCTTTGACAGCGTCGACCAAGAAGTAATTTGGCAGTTGCTTCAACACTACGGAATACCACAAACCTTTATCAATCTCATTCAACAACTATGTGAGGACGCCACATGCCAAGTAATTCACAATGGCAAGTTCAGTTATGCTGGACAGCTGTGCTCCCAGATTTTCAATGGTTCCCCAACTGATGTCAGTCCATGATGAATACTACTTCTAAATTTAGAATAAAAATGGGTTTTTGGTAGTTCATTTATTCCAAGTTAGATTATTTATGAAAAATGATCCATAAATATTTCTTTTATAGCCGTTATATTGGTGAACATTACTCAGTGATGTATTAAATAGCACTTCAGCATACTGATGTATGCAGACTAAATGTAACAGTACGAATACTGTTATATACCGTTACAAACATAATTATTTTGGCTTCCACCTTACATCGTGCTGTCTTTTGTCCACATGTGTAATATGGCAGCCTGGTCAGTTACACTGTATTACCAGCTCCCATCTTGATGTTTGCTGACTAATAAAGTTTAACATTTTGTAGTCACACTTTCTTGCAAAAGATACTGTTCATTGAACGATAAGCTTACACAAACCTTCTACATGTGCTGAGTCTTTCGAATGCTTCTTTGCAGTATCACTACTCAAGCAGTAAAACTGTGAATCTTCCCTCGATATTTGAAATAAATCTTCAATTTTAATACGCCACGGTCGATCCTAGCATCGCAGAGCCTCGGCTGAAGATAACCTCATAAGATCCTACAGTGTTATACCGGGAGAGAGCCTAACAAAAAAAGTTACTTGGATTGACTGTTGAATATATGAACATCAATGTAGTTGTTTACCTGGAGATAGGGTTTAAAGTTGGAATACTGTGAAGAACCTTATTTAAAATCACTTCCATTCTGAACATCACGTCATTCTTATTAATTTGACGATAATTTTCAAATAATGAAACGCTTTGCTTATCCTTCACAAGTTTAGGGTTTCCTGTCAACTTTCTTTTCTGTTCCGGATTATTGTACCACCTACTTTCAAATACTGTTAAATAATGGCCTTGCTTTACCATTTTAAACTAATATCACAGGAAAATGAATAAAATCCGAATAAACAGAAAATTTTCTAAACCTCAACGATGATGACGGGTGAGAACAAATTTCAGCTTGATTTTGCAATTGGAAATCCCCATCAACTGCTTGTAGAGGGATGAATAGTATACTTCAATCAAGAACCTAACAGCGCGAGATTAATGTGCACCTGTGCATTAAATTATGATCCAAAAATTGTATGACAGTCAACAGTCATATCTAGTCACCAAAATTAGGAAAAACGACGACGAAATGTAGTAACCTTTTACACATCCGTGTAGTAGGTAATGAGTCACACCTATTGTTTGGAGGCTAGTGAAACTACCTGCCTGCCCAAACCTCGGTTGGTGAAATAGTGTTTGGATTCGTGACCCACTGGTTGAAGGTTAACTCTCTAAACCAGTGAGCCACAGACAAGACGAAACAATCTTAATTCACGTTTAGTGATTGATTTAAAGTACTATATTTATGCTTCACTTTAATGATGTGGTAGGATAAGTAAACGGTTTCCAAAGCCTCATTTTATACAGCGTGCAAACGATTCACTAAACACTTCGTAAGAAAGAAAAAGCAAACGCTAACACTAAGTGAAGAACTCCACTTCATCTCAGTAAAACGAGTCATCGCATTTGATACATTCTTTAGACTAACGTGACATGCCTAGCTGTTTAGAAAGCTAAATTCCAGTCAGTGACTAAATAGTATTCAATACTTTATGGGTATTATTGACACCCAACTATAAAGTTTATATACTTCTTGTGTAGCGTCCAATGACATAACTCACTGCCCCAATTAGTATATGTAAGTGCGGTAATTCGTAGGAAAGAGCAACCTTTAGCTTTAGTATTCAAAGTTTGGTTAACAGAACTTTCAGTGAAACTGAATGAAGTTTCTTTTCAAAGTGCAGGGTTTTGAAATCACTTAAATCATATTATGCTGAATCAGTGTAATAACGATAAAAATCGTATTTACGGTGATAGTAGGAAAATGTTTCTTATTTTAAGCAGACGCTGTGATTATGTTAGGAATACGATCACAGATAACTTAAGGTACTTTTCATCTTTAAATAGTCGATCAATTTCCTACTTCATTCTTCCTTGCTGTCAGGGAGATCGGAATGAATTTGAAAAGCGATCGCATGATCCGGAATAAAACTAGTCCCAAAGTATTCAGTACGTGTGTAAAAATACACTCTGAAATTGTGGCACTTCACAGTAACACACAGGAAGCAAAAGGACTATAAACTTTGAAGCATAGCATATCACAGATCTTAGAAATCTAGTACGGAAAACATTCACTATACATACACACTGAGAAAGATATTTAGTGACACTAGTTGTGGTCCTTAAATCACTGAATTTTCAACATTTCAATGACTTCAGTCGCGAAGTCCATACTTCTAGACAAACTACAAATGGTATATCAAACAAAATTTTAATGACACATATTTAAGCATAACTTACCCACGGGCTTTTGATACTATTTGACGAATATTATTTGATTTAATATCTAAAACTTCCGGATTTCGGTCGCCTCCCCAGTCAGTTAAAACCAAGGCCTGAGATAAATCTGGAAAAAAAGATGCTTGTCAACAGTTTTTTTCCAAAAGGCTTTATGATGCTAATGATTTGCGCAGGTTGACAAAAAATTTCAGCGATGAACACGTAGTCTTCTCAAGTAATCACATCGATGCTTCACACAAAATTCATCTGCTTCGAACTAAGATGAATAGTGGGCAGTGGAATTTTTTATAGTAAACACGACACGGAATTACTTATCAATAAACAGCATAGATGTGAGAATTTAAAAACTCGGCTAAGCGACAAGATGAAACTGCACGCATAAAATGTGTGATCGTTAATACGGATTGCATGTTAACGCTAAATTCAACTAGAAATTAGAAGTACTTACCAGATAAGTGGTGATTTAGATGTATAATATTGAGTCAAATAGACGCATTATTCAAAATGTTTTGGTAAGAAAATCATTAGATGCTAACTAAATTAGCAATATTCTTCGCATCTGAATCGTTTTCCCGGGAAAAAGTCACATAACTGCACTAGGTTGTGACCAAAAGAAAAGTTTAGCAGAAACATCACGCGGTCATTTTAGCATATCTAATTGTAAGGGAATATTCACTCTTAAAACTAAGATTAAGCAAAAAGGAACTATACAAGACACTGTAACGTTTACCAGCTCTTATAGCCATAAATACTTAGTTAACATACTCCCCTCAATAAAAGAACTAACTTTTCAAAACGAAACCTAGTCGACTATTTAACGACCCTGGAGGAAATACAGCTTTTATAAATTTATTCTGCTGAAGATGGATTTCAGTCAAGATAATTCCTGCATAGGATATAACCTAAATAGCATCCATTAGTGCTAGTTGCACGTCTTCAATGTACTGACGTGACTGTCGCCTACTTGCACCAAAACACTGCGGCATCAAGAAGTAGCTCTACATGTTCAGTATGTACCGTTAATTTTAATTTGTGTCTGAGTTTCATCCGCAGACAGAATGAGACATTACTTAGGCTGGTATATGAGTGTTTACTTGTCAGTTAAAGCGAAAAATTGGTTAGTTCAGATTCTGAACCTTTTGGACAGCATACAAAAGTGAGAGTAAATCTCTTATAATGACCCAGTTAATTACCATTTGAAAAAATCAAGTCCAAAATTTATGATGTGATATCATTTTTCTACATTTTCACTGTCCCTAAACATTTTCAAATTATACACGAGTAATGTATAAGCAACAAAAACGTTCATGATGATACCTCCTAAGTAACCAGAAAGATACTTTGAAAGATTGTTTGTGGAACTTTGGCATCTTCTTGCGACCGTTTAAAGTTCACCTTTTCAATCGTCACCTGGTTCAACCACATCCACGAAAGTATAAATCAAAGTATTCGCCCCACCAATATCTGTGCTTATCCTGAACACTGCAAAAAAGTGAACGGAAAACAATTCAGTCACCTAGCCGAAAGTTTGTAGGCTAGTACACCACGACATCGCTGGTAAAACAATCCAATGGTAGAAATGTAACTCATAGTTCTCAATTTCGAAATATAGCATTTGTACAGCAAATACAACAGATATATTTGAGGTTCGGTAGTGTGTCATGAGTCACTGATGTATACTGTTAACATAGGTCAAATCACACCAACAAATATATGGTGATGCACTGGCTATTACGTTCATTCTGTTGCGAATGTTGGCCATGATACCTAAATTCTAAAGTAACTGTAATGTGTATGTTACTGAACCGCATATTCAGCGGTATAATGCGAATAAATTTAGTGTTGTTCGTTCCTAAGTACTTCTTACAGCTTTTGATAACACAAATAATATCAATATTTAGACTTTTTTGCTGTTGAACTCTACGAGTGAATTCAGAAACATTTATCCTTAGTGTCAAAATAAAGTCGAAATCTACTCAAAAACCCTTTGCGTATTTGTGCAGCAGGTAATAAGCCACGGCTATTGTGTGAAGGCTAATGAAACTATCTTGCTTCCCAAACCTCGGCAAGTTGAGCGGCGTTCGAACGCGCGACCTACTGATTGAAAGTCAACTCTAGACCAATGAACCACAACTGAATGTTAGTCTCTTTGACTATCCCCATCAAAAATTGCAATTTTCATTTCTATAACAGTACACGGAGTACTAGTTGAATTTCAATTCGGTGGTTAAAATTTCTGGACAGGAAATTATGATTAAGGAAACATTTACATACACTTAACTGTTAACAAATATAACAAGCCAAGATAGAAAGCTTGACTGGACTGGCATAAAATAACTTGCGATAACGAAATAAAGGAAATCATGGATGTTTTGTAGCAGCCTTATGAACGGGAAATTTCCTGTAACTAAGTTATTGCTCTTTGTTCACCTTAACTTATTTTCCCAAGGCTCTGTTAGTATACATGGTCTACCTATGCATGAGACAAGTTTTAACTAATTTTCGATTAAAAGTTGAAATATGATGGATACTTTTATGTGCTCGCACAAATTACCATAAATAAAAATGAATAATCTGTGATTGCAGTCAACCTGCCTATCTGAGAACTAGGAGCTACGTTTATGACTGATTAACTATGCTAAAAATCTTTGACAGTCAGAAAAACAATATCGAAATGAGACCTACCAATACAGAGAAACTGCTCAAGTCGTCACATTCCACAAAAATAACTTTGGAATTCCTATCTAAAAACAGACCAGTTAACCTTCAATTGACCCAAAATTGACTCATCATTCATTGCATTTGTTTCATACAGGTTAACTGTAATGTCGCACAGAATTTACAAAACACTAGTAAAATAACAGTACTATTAAAATGAGATGTCCTGAGAGGAACTCATGGTGATAGTTTCTCCAAACTATAACACAAAAACTGTCATTTATTCAAGAAAAGAATTTGGGGAACTACACAAATAAAATTCTTCTGAGTTCATCCTATGACGATTTACTCCGACAAAATGGAACATCTGACTTTCGATTGCAACACACTTCGTAAACGAAAACATCAAAGGAAAGATTTCAAGGTGTTCTCATATACTTTATAATGCACAGTTCTAACCTTAGACGGTTTCATGGACTGTCGTAGCAAATCTACACTCTTCTCACATAAATATCATTCCTGAAGTTAACCCCCAGAACCAGTCTTTTTATTGAGTGGCGAAGGATCCAAAATGCCTTGAATAATAGAAACATAAGTTAAACACGTAAGCATAGGTGGTTTATAGCCTTATGTCAGAGAACTTGGATCTCAAAATGGATGCCTAGTAGATATCGTATTCTAAAAAGCATTTAAGCTTCAAAATTAAATTACTTACCTTTTAGTTTGGATGTGTAGATCCGTTTATCATTAAAGAATGCTCCTTGACTTCGAATCCCGCGGAAAAACCATTTTAATACTGGATTGTAAACGACAGCAATCTCGGGCTAGGGTTTTTATAAGGTATAAGTACGAACAACAAACCTCCTTGTCAACATAGTAGGCAATAGAAACACAGACAAATGGAAACCTAAAGGTTACTTGGAGTCGTATTACCTGCTAACGAAATTAGATGTTCCATCAATTGGATCAATTATCCACGTGGGTGAACATGTAAGTTCAGCATTACCAGTGTAGGCCTCTTCTGCAATTATTCTAAGTGCAATTAAAATAAAATATACGCTCTTACTTGTGGTTGGGGAACGCAGTAAGAATTTCTTTGCAAATATATCTTTCAACTGCCTTATCAACTTCTGTTACCAAATCAGCATATGACTCTTTCTTATCGTACGGAATATCCTCGGAGAAGCCTGCTTCAATCATCTTCAGATTAAGTGAATATTACAATCTCATAAGAAATACCTCCCTGCTTTCAGGGCCAAGTTATTGATAAACAAGATGTCGACCTCCATTTCGTAATTATGGATTGAAATGAAGGTTGTGTGTAGATCCAATATCCAATATCCAATATTGATAGTGCGAGCGTAGAAAACTGGTAGTTTTTGATCTCTCGCGGCAGTGGACGATGAAATCCCCTCCGCCTTCTTGCTTTTAGCTTCGGTGAGGTGGATGTTCTGTAGGTTAGTAAGTTGTAATTTATAGTTATTGGGGAGCTACAGGTTGTTGGGAAGTTTAGGGAACTGCAGTGACTCCTGTCTGTGTATGTACCTGAAAGAGAATAGTAAGGTAGTAGTAAAGGAATGAAGAGAGAATAAAGAAAAAAAGAGAGGAAGCAATAATAATATGGGGAAGAGAAAAGGGAAGGAGAAGAAAAGGAGGGGTGAAGAGAGAAATGAGAACGAAAGAAAAGTATTTGCGAATTGCCCGAATGGTAGTGTGGGTTTGGTTCCTACAGAAGACTTAGTAGGTAATGTGGGTGTATTAAGGAGGGAGATAGTGAGTGGTAGTTAGGAGGGAGTTGGGGGTACTGAGGTTGGTGACTACCTGAGTACGTCCGTGGTAGTCCATGCGAGGTGACATAACTGTCTAATCGCCTCTTGAAAGAGTCGACTGAGGGGGCTATAACGATATGTCGCGGCAAGGCATTCCATAAAACACATACTCTTAGGGAGAAAAATTTGGACCTGAGTATGGTGTTGGCTCTCTGGTGTGCTATCTTAATGGGGTTTCCTCGTGAAGATCGTTGAGTTGCAGGCGAAATTGATTTGTTTGCATGGTCTGCCTGATGGGCGATCTTGTATGCCATAATAAGGTCACCCCTTTTCCTGCGATAACCCAAGGTAGATAGGTTTAGGTGTTTAAGTCTTTCAGGATACGTCTTTCCCCTTAGCCCCACAGTTCCTTGTATTCTTTCAAGGAGATTAGAGTCTCTCTTGAGTGTTGGAGGAGCCACCGTATTGAAGACCTCTAGATGCGGCCGCACGTAGGATTTGAAAATGGTGAGGAAGAGTTCGGGAGTGAGGGCGCCAAGCTGTCTACGCAAAAAGTGTAGGATGGCGTTCGCCCTGGTTGTCATACCTTTGTAGTTGGAGCTGGTGTCCAAGGTGTCGGAGAAGTTGAGCCCCAAATCTTTCTCCATGGACACTCTGGTGATAGCACGGTTGCTCAACATGTACTGGAAGTCGGTCGTACTTGCTTCATTTTTACTGATGTGCATTACTTTGCACTTTTCCAGCTTGAAGCTCAGGCCATTTTCCGACGACCAGAGCTCGAGTTGCTGCAAGTCCTTTTGTAGTGCTGTACAGCCAGTTTCTTCGTTTTCCACCCTCCAAATTTTTATGTCGTCAGCGAAGAGGAGGATGGGTGAGGATATTTTATCTGGCAGATCGTTGACAAACAGGAGGAACAGAAGCGGTCCTAGGATTGCTCCTTGGGATACTCCTGACGTCGACAGTCTCCACTCCGACCTTATTCTGTTCACTTTAGTGCAGAACTGCCCCCCTTCCAGGTACTCCTTGAACCAAGAGAGTAGGGGTCCACTTATACCAGCTGACATGATCTTGTGAAGCAGTACTGTGGGTGGGACACTGTCAAATGCTTTGGCTAGGTCGAGAAATACAACATGTACAGGTTTTCTGTTATCCCAGCTTTGTGTCCAGTCGTCCCAGGCGGTTAGTAAGTTGGTGGCACATGAGCGACCACTCCGAAAGCCATGCTGAGCAGTATGGACAATGTTTTCCCCATTGAGGAATTCCCATATAGTGTCAGCTACCAGGCTTTCCAACACTTTCGACACAATAGTGAGTAGAGCAATTGGCCTGTAGCTGCCAGGGCTTTTTCTGTCTTCTCCCTTGAAGATGGGTGACAAGATGGCGCTCTTCCATTCTTTAGGGAGTTTCCACGACTCTACTGACTGCTCAGAAAGGTTGCGAAGTGGTTTAGTAAGCACTGTAAAGGAAAAATGATCTGAAAATCCCTCCCGATCACCCTTATTTGATTGTATTGACATTTATTTTAACATTTTTACCCTCGTTATGGATGGTGTACCTTTGACCCCCGCCGGTGTAATGTTATTTGCTCGTTTAACTGTCTTATTTGACTTTACACTCGGTATTTGCCTTTGTATGTTTGAGACTTATTATGAGTGTTTCACTTTCCTATTATGTGACGCTGGACTGTTGATAAGGTGATGTTGTTTTACTGCGCACGACATTTTTGTTTTGGTTCAACTTACGGTTGTGCAGTGATTTGACTGTTTGCCTTTTGACTGTCTACTGGGAACGTTTGTTTGTTGATTTGATTCCTGTAGGCAGAGTTTTGATCCCTTTTGCCGGGAATATTCTTATTGACCGACAGGTATTTAACAGTTGTATTTTTTAACCAGTTTTTACCGTGTAGTACGTATTTGTACCCGAGAACGTTTTGGACTGTATAGTTACCCGACGGCGCTGTTGAGGTATTTTTGTAATTTGACATAACTTATTGTTGCTTTGATAGTACCACAGATTTTGTTACGAATCTACTATTGAATTACTACAAACCGTGTTTTGATATTTCGATCCAACCTTTGACTGTGCGTCACTCGCGGAAGTTAGGAAGCTATACAGTAGAACGCAGGAACTAGTCAGATTCACGTCAGTTGGCACCGCCTAGCTATTTCAGGCCAAGATTATTGGATTTTGGCCGCTACAAGCACCTCGGCGCAGTTTTTTAGAACCACTGGTTTTAGGTTATAGCAGCCAGGGGACTTGCCTAGGCGTGGCCTGGATAGTTTCTCAAAAACTTTTTTCTCTGTAATTGAGATGTGATACAGGTATTCGTCGTTTACTGCCTGGTCGGTGTCGTAGCGAGTCGGTGTGGATCTTGTATCAGTGCCAATTTGGGCTTGGAAGTGTGAGCTCAAAAGCTCGGCAATCTCTAGACTGTCTAGTACACTCCCGTCATGGCCTGTGACAAGATTCACTCCCTTACTGGTAGACTTTCTTCTCGACATGGAGCGGTACATATTTCTATGAATGCTCCGCAGCCTCTCCTCCAAGTTTGCTCAATACGAGAATCTTTCACTACGCACTCTAATGTTATAGCAGTTGCGAATCCCTTTGTGGTTCAAAAAGTCAGGCTCCTTGCGTGATGAACGCCACTTGAACCAAGCCTGCTTCTTGCTCTGGATAAGCCTCTCTGTCCCACGCTTTAACCATGAGGTTCTCACTGATTGTCTGTGTGTTACTTCTGGTGCACCGTGACTGATGGCCCCGGTGATTATTTTCTTCACCTCCAACCAGTGTTCATCTATTATGAGATGAGCTCAGTCTACCTGCCATGATGCATTCATGAGATAGTCCCTCATGGTCTCATGGTTGGCTTTGCTATAGCAAGGGAAGGTGTTGGACGTCTCCAGTTGCAGAGCCTCCCCAGTAATCATGGAGAAGGAGATTACAGCGTGGTCACTGGTCTTAGACACCTAACGCTGCTGTACATACATATTAGAGTGTGCCTGGTGAGAGGGGAGGTCTGTTTGTGTATTTTCGAGGGATGAGAGCTTACGTGGTTGGATCTAGCATCGCCAGTCCTCATAGGACTGGCATTGTTCCATTTTTGTGTTTTGTTTTTAACTTGGGTGGGGGCTGTGGCAGTGGTGGCTTCTTTACTTGATGTATCTAACTCACTGGTCAGTGCCTGTGTGACCACCACTGACTCCAGAGGTCTTGGTGGTTGCCGTCTCTCCTCTTGCCTTGTGGGTCTAGGCTTACTTTCACACATACGTATTGAGCCACCCATGTAATCTTTCGCATTATACCATGCTGTAGAACGTCTGTGAGGGGGGCATATGGGTCGAACTGGACGGCGAGTAGTCTGGGATTGGGTATGGTCTTCAGGTGCGCTGGCCTTGGCAGTCTACTGACGCTGTTGGCCGGTATACTGTTGAGACCAACTTTGGTTGAGAGCCATTGCCATTGTTGGACGTCGTGAAAGTACCGATCTTTGACCGAGCGGTCACTTGGCAATTCTGGAATCCCATGTACAACTATAGTGTTGTTTCTGTTGGGATTTCCAACCGCTGACTTTCTCTCCTCCTCTCTTATTGACCATGGCTTGTCAGGCCTGGCCCGAATTTTACAGGCATTAACAACGTCCGGTTGTCGAGAGAGAAGGAGTGTCTTCAGCCTCTTTGGCAGTATTTAGGGACACGCAAAGGAGGGGGCTTATCTCGGGGTGCACGGCTTCCTCGAGAAAGGCGACATAAAGTTGCAGGGAGGGGAGGGAGTCCCAGCATCTGACAGTAGTCGGTCCACATTCGGCTGTCAAACCGTTCCCTCTCGACCAACAATGAGTCTGTCGATACATCGACGTTGAACAAAATGATCGAGTTGGTCCTCCTGTGACCTGGGTTCGTTGTGGGTGGCACGCCCGACTTCCCAATGGGTTTGAGTAATTCCACTGGTTGTTTCTCAGTCACGGTGTGTGGGATGTTTGGAATGGGTTTCGTAGAGGGTTCAGCGGTCGATGTCTTTGGCCATACGCTTGACGTTCCCTGGGGCCGGGTAGGAGGTATGGAGACTTGACCTAATATGGTCCCCACGCGAGGTGGCGTGCCCACAGCTGGAGCTCTAGGTCTGTTTCCAGGTCTCTCTGTGTTATCCTTTGGTGTTAACCCTACTTTATTCGAGGATGCTGGTAGCTTTTGCGTGGCGGAGAGCATCTCCTTCAGGCTTTCTGTGTGGAGTGCGGGCATTTTCCTGCACTCTGGACAGATGTACCAGAACCACTTGCATGGTTGTCTCTCCATCAGCTTATGGTAATGTCGGGAACTTTGGTGTCGCAGTGGCAATGAGCCCATCGGTGACATAGGTTGCATGCAAATGCCTCATCGACTACCGAAACAACTTTGGTGCAAACACTGGAGCCATCGGGTGTCGTAATAC